TTGTGATCTACACAGATCATGCATCACTTCAAACTGCGACTCAGTCGCCTCACCTCTCGCAGAGGATGGCCAAGTGGCTCTCCTTCTTTGCAGAATATAACTTCGAGGTGAAGTATAAGCTAGGAAAGCAGAAGCTTTGGTTGATGCGCTGTCATGCAGACCCGAATATGAGTTTGCTCATGTCACGTCGGTGACGCCATCAGTGACGGATTTGATCTGCGCCGCATATGCGGGTGACAGTATGTGTATAGCGCTGCTACAAGGTCTCGGGAGCAAGGAGTTTGAAAACCCGGACAAGAAAATGTCGTCGCGATTGCGCGCACGGTTACACCGATGTTCGTTGAGTAACGGTTTGCTGTATCAAAGCACCGAAGCAACGGATGCGCCACAAATTTGGGTTGCTCACGATGAGAATTTAAAGTACTGTATCCTCTCAAGGCCCACGACACCCCACTCTGTAATAATCTTGGTCGTGAGAAGACGTACAGCTCGGTGCAGTTCAGGTCATTCGTCTACCGGCTATACGCCGTTCTTCACGAACGGGCTTTTTAATCCTCGCGTCCTGCCGACGCCGCCATCCCATGGCGCAGGGCTTGGTGGGGTAGGAATAGCCGAACGCATTGCTGATGTCAGCCCCCCCCAACGTGCGTAAAGAACTCGGAGCCTTCCTGCCTACCAGACTGGGTGTCTTACGACACGTTCCCGAAGCGATGGCTCGAAGCCGAGACATGCAGAAGGAATATGCAGACGGAAGTGGAAAAAAAAGAAATATTGAAAAATTGAGGTCGGAGACCTGGTTTTATTAAACTCTAAAGACCTTCCTACACAGGCATTTTTTGCTGTCTTTAAGACGAAGCTTTGCCCACGGTTTACTTGACCTTTTAAGGTCGTAGCGAAGCGAGGCCTGGCGTATACGTTGAATTTTCCGAGAAGGATGCGCACCTACCCAGTGTTGTATGTGGGCTTGCATTAGCCGTACCGGGATCCGGCGCAAGTGAACGCGATAGCGTTGGCGCCGGGGTGGCGTGCAAAGGCGCCCGGCCACTCAGAAGCTGAACCAGCAACTGGTTCTGAGCACGGAGCGCAACAACTTCTGTTTTCAACGACGCAAGGCACTCTACCGTCTCACGAAGTGACGTATTCGCCTGATCGACGGCTAGGAGCCGCTCCAACAGAATATTATGTTTCTCAACATGAGGCAGTCGGTGCACGAAGAGCTCTAGGCTCTTGAGGTCTTCGGCACAGCGGTAGATGACCTCGGAGAGATGCTCGGCAGAATGCCGATGACAATGGACTTTGTGCTCCAACGCTCGAAGAGCATCGCACGTCACCGGACGGCGATCGACCAAGTCTTCATCGTCCGCCGCCGACTCTTCTTGATGAGAATGGTGGCATCCACTACCACATGAAGCGCCTTGTGGGTCAACGTCATCGACGAGGTTTAACCGAATATCTTGTGATCTGGCGGGGATACTCAAACTCCGAGAATCGTAGAGGATTGAGGTACCACTTCGGCAAGTCTGCCCAGACGTCGTGGGCGCATACGATCAGAAGGATCATGATGCTTTGCGTCGTCACGCTTCGCACTTCTCGGTAGTAATCTGGAAAGTCGGAGGGCCATGGGCTGAGCTCAAGCTTTGGCCATGAGCTACTGTCGTAGACTGACCCGTGTGAGAAACCACAGAGCTATCGGGAGCGTAATAGATTGTTCCATATGTCGCAGGGCGACTTAAAACGGCGTTGCGTCTTGAAGGTGGCGCTCAAAGCGCACGTCTACTTCTTTGTGGCTTCGCTGAAAAGTAGAAAGCGAAGAAAGTTTTCGGTGCCGCTGCACCCATCGCTCAAAGGGCTCATCGTCATCTGCAGCGGTTTTGCTAGGTTCGCAATGCGGGGATAGGAGCACCTCCTTTCGAAGTCTAGCGCGGTACCGATTCATAGGGATCTCTTGTGGTACCAAAACCGAGCTTGGAGAGCTTTCCGCTGATCCAGCTCAGCTTGTGTAGTGGCAGGGACCCGACTACGTAGAATCCTAACGATCGAGTGATCGCGTCTTTCGATTCAACAGCGGAAATTGCCGAGCAGAAGCCCTACTACATACGAGGATCTAAGATCGAACGTGGATACGGGCGCATGAAAGCCGCCCTATGAGCAGCCTCCAATTGCTGCTCCTGTGCCTCGTCGAGGCGATTGGTAATAATACCACTTCCCCGGAAGCCGAGAGGTCGAGGAACGGGCATGGTATCCGCAGGGTTTAAGCTGGGCTCACGTCGCGCCGTTGGCGCACTTCATCCTCCTCGTTATCCCATACTGGGAAAGGAGTGTTCGACTCGTAGTCGATTTCTTCCAACTCCTCGATGAGGAAATCCGTCGCCTGGGGCGGGCGCGTCGTGTTCCGCTCAGTGCCGAGGGCTTGAGACGTGCTTCCCGTGAAGCCGCGGACGTACTGTCCGGTAATGCACCCTGTGCAGAAAAAGAAGCCGCGGACGCCCTACCAGCTAGGCTGTCGTAGACACAGGGCTCATAGAGCGGAGAATATTTAAAGTTGATCTTAAAGAACGTTAAGGTGTCTCAGACACGCGAGCCTTGTATAAGGCGACCGTTAAATAAAAATTGGGAATATTCACAATGTAACGTAACGGGGTTACACATACCCTTGTATGAAAGGGCGGGTTGCACAAGATTGTGCAGCCGTACATAGATGTGTATTACACAAGTTAGTGTAATCACACAATTATGTAGCTATACCGTAACAAGAAGCCACCACATGGCAGGATCACCAGTAGTTATGTATACTTCTATATTGATAAGGTTTTGCTATATTAATTAGGTATTACTATATTGATTAGGAAAACGTAAGGCTTTAGATATCAGCGGCTTGGCCGCAACTAAAGGATAAATATAGTTTTCAATTTCGAACAAAAGTGTTCGTTTTCCTTGGGTAAGGTTTTAGTACCAGGAGGTATCCGCTACATTCGTACTGGTTCTTGGAAAGAACGTAAGGTCGGTGGCCTTACTTTAGCTTTCTTTAAACAACGATCTACGGCAGTCCTGCTGCAGCAAATAGGAGTATTGCTGCAGCGGGACTGCCGTAGATTTGCGCATTGAGGAAGCGTAACTTAGGTCAAGGTCACCGACGTTTCGTTG